TAAGGTCGCTTGACTATCAGTAAAGATATTGATTGTTTTGTCTCTGATATCTTTGTTAAGATGTTCTTGAGCACAAACTAGAATGGCAGTGACCTCCGCTTGAAAGACAGTTGGGTACACCCCCATTGGAAGACAAATACCAGTGCCTCCATTCATCCAATGCACATCTGCTCCAGTGCCCCCATTTTTGATCTTAGAACCATCAGTATAGCATTCTAAGTCACCTGTGGGTATGGGTCCTTTTCCGCCAGACCAATCCTTCCTATCTGGTATTAGTACTTTGAAAGGCTTTCCAAAGGAGTATTTTTTGGACATGTGATCTGAAGGTAAGTCCAATTCATCATTATGTACCACCTGAACAATTTTAGAGTGCCCTTTATTGTTCCCTGAGGCTATCCATAAGTTTTCGCATCTAAGGCGTTGGGCTGTTTTACTTGCTACCACCTTAATATAAATGTCAATAGGTAGCATGTCAAGCAGACAATCAAGTGCCGCTCCAGGACAGCTACTTACTGCCCCAGTTATCATAATAAGAGCAAGCCTCTGAACTCCTGCTAAAGCTTTGACAGCTATAGTTGATTCCATCTTTGGCCACCACACAAGCGAACCATATGTAAGGGCGGGTCGAACAACAGATACGTACAGCCAGTGCATAAGTTTAGGCTGTAACCCCCATGTGCCACTTACCATCCGCCTGCATGCCATAAGGGACCATTTGCCACGCTCAATGACTTTTTGAAGGTGTGGTCCCCAGTGAAGTGATCTGTCCAAAATTACACCAAGATACTTCACCTGATTCTGCAGCTCTATTACAGTACCCTGCAGTCTTAGTGGGCCGATCCCGTCCAGTTTCCTCCTTCTTGTGAAGGGTACCATTACAACTTTCCTGGGATTTATAGAGAGCCCAACTTCCTGGCACCAACGGTCCACTACCCTTAAAGCTCTATTCATAAGGTCAGTTATGGTTCCGTGGAACTTTCCAACCACAAGGATTGCAACATCATCAGCATAACCTAAGGCGAAAACCCCACTTTCGTTGAGGGTCCTTATGAGGTCGTCTGCTACCAAATTCCAAAGTAGAGGAGAAAGAACCCCCCCCCCTGAGGACATCCTCGAGTAGTTCTTGCCTCGATCGTATCATTGTGGAGTGAGAGCCTAACCTTCCTACTGAGAAGCAAGGATTCAATCCATCTACATATTATACCGTGAAAACCTCTTGCTCTCACCGCATTAAGAATCGCTGGAGTACCAGTATTGTCAAAAGCACCTTGAATATCGAGAAAGGCACCCAGGGCCACTTCACTGCTCTCTAGAGCTTTCTCAATCTTGCTTACAAGTTGGTGCAACGCAGTCTCGCATGATCTTCCTGAGACATACGCATGCTGATTAATATGTAAAGGATGTGTCCTAAGAGCTGTATCCATCATATATCTTGAGACCAACTTTTCTAGGATCTTAAGAAAGAAAGAAGATAGAGAAATGGGTCTGAATGACTTAGGGTCAGTGTAACTATCCCTTCCTGGTTTAGGAATAAATGCGATACGCGAATTACACCACCCTAAGGGAATGTGTCCTAACGCTAAGCTGGCTCTGAAAAGTTTACAGAGTGGGTGTATAATTGTATCAAGACCCTCCTGCAAACAAACAGGTCTTACCTCATCAGGACCCGGCGATTTGAAGGGTCGTAATAAGCCAACAGCCCATCTTACCTTGCTGAAGGTGACTATGCGGCAAGCAGTGCTCCACATAGAATGAGTGGCACGACGGCCCAGGTTAGGCCGCTCTGGACTCACCTCCTCCTGCTGCACTTCAGAAACAATACAACCAGGGAAATGAGTTTTTACCATAACCTTTAGTATTTCGGTAGGTTCAAAAGCCATTACACCATCCGGTCCCTCAACGGCACCCAAAGTAACATGCCTGTCTCTAACAAGTACCTTATGTATTCTAGAAGTATCCTTGATACTCTCTAAATTTCCACAAAAATTTTTCCATGAGAGCCTTTTGGCCTTACGTACTGCATGGTTATATTCTGTGAGAGTTGTATGGTATGTATCCCAATTATTGGTTATCTTTGCTCGCCTAAATTGGGCCCTTACTCTCTTCCTAAGAGAGGCAAGTTCAGGACCCCACCAACTAGCCCTGTTGCTCTTTCCCTTGCTCAAAGGACAATTATCCTCAAAGGATGTAACTATGCACCTAGTTAGACGATCTGCCGCCTCGTCAAGCGCATCAACTGTGTTAATAGGAGATGTGTTCAGGTTCGAGGCAATTCTGCCCCGAAGATCAGCTCTGAAGGATGCCCAGTCGGTTTTAACTGGGCTCCTGAATAAGCGAACCTCGCCGCAGAAATTCCCCAACCCGAAGACAATGTGCCTATGATCAGACAGGGATGGCTCAAGGGACACTGACCAGTCAATAATCCTGTCAGCCATACCCGCCGAACACAGGGTAAGATCAATTACTGATTGGCCTATCCTGCTTAAAAAAGTTGGTTCTGAGCCTACATTTGCAACAAGTAGGCCGCAAGAAGCTATGTATTCTAGAAGTGACCTACCTCGGTTGTTAGTGTCCCTGCATCCCCAGGCCGTATTATGGGCATTGGAGTCGCAGCCTATCACGAGTTCAGATCCAGACTCGTGTGCGAGGTCGACCAATCTTCTGACCTCGGCCGATGGGAGCAGTCCATCGTCGCCCTGTGGCATGTAAACAGAGGCCAGCAGCAGTTTTATGTTGGATTTAGTACATACAGTCTTAATTACTGTTACGTCCCTCGAACAAAGCTCTAGAACTGGATTACATTTTAGCCCCTCTTTAACCCAAATGCAAGTTCTAGGGTGTGGTACAGATGCAGAGAAGATGCTACCCTTTATAGTTCCCATCCCCGCAATTCTAAAATTATTGATCCAGGGTTCTTGAATCAAGGCATAATCTAAGGACTGCTTAACCGTGCTCAGACAGAACACAGCCGTGGCAGCCTTACTGTGTTGTAGGTTCGCTTGAAGGACCTGAGTCATCAGAGGGAGCACCAGAGATAACTCTGAGCTGTATTTTCCCCAGACCCAGATAGATAATCCAGCCACGATCTTTCAGAACCTGCGCATTCATTTCATCAATAGCAAGAACAAGAATCTGATGATCATCCTTCCTCTTCCCACCAATGACGCGCCAGTCCTTTGTCGTGACACCAGGATTTTGCCGCTCAATCTGAACAAACACTTTAGAGGCTTCGACCTTGGCCAAGCGCCTGTCAGTGCGTAGGAGCACTTTGGTCGTGCGCAACAGATCCTTATAGTCTGCTACAATGACCTCCATACTCCCCTCACTTCCCAGCGCCAGCTTCGGTGCCACCCTCTTTAGCCAGTCAGTTGTTTCAGAATTACCACAAGTTACGACAAGAGCACCCTTCTCATGGTAAATTTTTTCAAACTGATGAGGAATGTTGGCGCCGTCATCACCAAACACCAACTCCATCAGTTTGTCCTGCAACAAATCACATTCCTCAACAGAGAATCTCGCATCGGGATAGGCCGCTGGAGCTACTGCCAACTTGTGACCCACAAGCTGATCTCTGTAGCTGGACTTTCCTGCAACGAGTCCATCTGCTGATTGATTAGAGTTTTTATTTCTCTTAGAAGGAGGATTTTGAGACGACCCAGGGTTACTATCGGATCCGGTTCTACGCATCGGTGATACGCCTGAACCTTCCCCAGGAGAACTCAAGGACTCTCGCTTCCTCTTTCTCCACTGTCTGTTAGGGATCCACGTGCCCTCAGCCTTTTTCCTTTCTCTAACAGACATATTGTACTCAGTTTTGGTCATAACTGTAAAAGTGATCTCAGAGTCGGACGAAACATCCGCCAGAGATGGAGAGTCGCCAGCACTGCTGGTGTTTAGTGGCTTATTCAGGTCTGCATCTAACCTGTGGCAAAGCTCAAGCACATCAGTAGATGAATTGGGTGGAGTTCTTGCTGTTAAGGAACTTCTCGAGAAGACCTCTGGCGTGTCCAGGATCTCCCCAGGTTCCGTCTCCATAGCGGTGTTCTGCACAGTAACATTATCATTGTTAAAGGAAAGCTGATCGTTGCCCTCCCCAGAATCCATGGGCTTGTCCTCCAAAAAGGAGGAGTGGGATTCCCCGCTTGAGCAGGTACCCACCTGGGGTAATGATTCCGTTCGTTTACTTTCAGCCATTACTAAAACAAGAAAAGCAAAAAAGTTAGCAGTTTAGCAGCCGAACCGTGACCCACTCACTACGCCTGCTAATATCCAAGACTGGACCCTTTCGGGGTAGGACCCCTCATCGTCTCCAGCTCAGTCCTGTCACAGCTGCACACATACCTGTAACAGTTGGCGGTAACATTAGCTATCTGGGCCTTGGCCGGATTGGTGATTGTCACCTCCGCCCAAGGCCAGTACTAGAGCAGCCGCTCCCTACCCTAGGGCTGTCTAGTCACGACACAGCCAGCGCTAGATCCGCTGCCTTCAGCGAGTGCAGAGGCACCACTTGCAGGCTGTGCATAGCACAGTACGACTTTGCTGAACAAAGTCGACTCACAGCGGTCTTGGAGGAGGAGCTGTCATAGACAGCTCCCCCTCCCTGAGGAGCTTACGCTTACCTCTCACCTCCTATTATTTAGTATTTATTATTGCTTGTTATCTCCCGTATGTAATGGTATCATTGTACAATGGCTTCTGTCGTGAATAAACGAATTGAATTGAATTGATACTAAAAAGTCGATGTCTGTCATCCGGTAGAAAACAATTTCGATATTTAACTGAATGCCTACCATATCGTTGTGAGCCCAGCGTAATCCCGATAAAACCTCTCGGTCGGTAAGAACCTCTCGCTAAGCAAAAATATAATCAAAACGTCAAACAATCGAGGTTCAAACAATCGAAATGTTTCGATTGTAACATCTCGTAATCGCGCATCACTCGCGCATCGGAGTCGACTCGACATCGACAGTCAGTCAGAGGTCAGAGTTCAGTCAGAGTCCAGAGTCCAGAACAGAGTCAGTTCAGTTCGGTTCTGTCAGTTCAGTGTACGTACAGTACTACAACAGACAGACGACGACGTCTTTAACTTTGTTTGTTACCGTTAGGAGACTTGACAGGAGTTGCCTAGAACCCCTAGACCTACTAAAACTTAACTGACATTGGAAGTGGATTTATGTGTTTATTTAGTGCAGGGTTTATTTAATCCTATTTAATAAATTATTCATATTTTTTGTGGTATAAAGATACACTCTTGAGTATTTCGTTCAGCCTTTTCTTTTTTGTTTGATTAATATTTGAAAATCTAACAGAAGGCTAAACGTCAGTTAGTAACCCTTCTTCTAACCGAATAAAACCTTTATAAAACATAAGTTAAATTAGTTTTCAAACTATATTTATTACAATTCAATTTGTGCGGGACATATACCATCCATGAGGCTTTTGCACGGAAACGGGCCCCAAGTGATGGAATAGGCCTTGGTTGGATCCCAGCCACGTCCACTTTCTGAGAGCTTCAGTTATTGTTTATGTTATTTGGATTTATTAAGGTGAGTGCCGAGTACATTTTACTAGATGATAATTATGTCTTTGTTTCAACGGTATAACCATTTTACTTTTAGTTTGACATAGGATGCCATACAATATAAAACTAGGTGGCGTTCGCAAAGGCATCCACAAAATTGAGCGGAGTCATCAAGGGTTCATATTATATTGTTTTTGTTATACTGCAGTAAAAACAGTCGTTTAATGCATGTGTTTTGGGTCTAAAGTAGCATTTTAACTCTTTAGAGAGTAAAAATCGTTTTTAGCCTCTATGGAGTAAACATCAGCTGTTGTCAACTCAGTTGGAAATTTCGATTGTAAACGATTGAATGTGTTGAAAATATGTATCGATTCGTTCTTCATAATCATTTTAGCATTTTAGCATTGCAGATACATTAATCCATTCCCGCAGTCAAAAAACTGCTCACCTTTACTACTTCCTTCACCACCCCCTACGTCGTGGACCTGTTTCCCTCTCTTCCCATAGCTTTTTAGGATTGCAGATACGTTAATTCTTTTTTGCTAAAGTCAGTTCCCACATTCTGCACTGCTAGCCTTACTACTTCCTTCACCATTTCCTACGTCATAGACCTGTTTCCTTCCCTTCTCATAGCATTTGAGGACTAAAGATACATTAATCTAACTGCGACAGACGGTAATCACACTATGCTCATACTTTACTACTTCCTAAGCCACTTCCTACGTCGTGGACCTATTTTCATCACTTTCCATAGGATTTTAGTATTTTAGATACGTTAATCTAATTGTCACAAACATTCCCCAAACTCCGCACTGTTAGCCTTTACTACTTCTTTCACAATTTCCTATGTCGTGGGCATGCTTCCATCCCTTCTCATAGCATTTCAGCATTGCAGATACATTAATCCAACTGCTACAAACGGTTTCCAGTTCCCACACTCCACACTGATCACCTTACTACTTGCTTCACCTCTTCCTACGTCGCGGACCATTTTCCCTCTCTTTCAAGAGCATTTTAAGATTGTAGAGACCTTAATCTAATCGTCATACCCAGTTCCCACAGTTCGGACAGCTCGCCTTTACTACTTCCTTCACCACTTCCTACGTCCCGGACCTGTTTTCCTCCCTTTCCATAGTATTTTAAGATTGCAGATCCCTTAATCTAATCGTGATAAACAGTTCCCACACTCCGGACTGTTCGCCTTTACTACTTCCTTCACCACTCCCTACGTCCCGGACCTGTTTTCCTCCCTTTCCATAGCATTTTAAGATTGCAGATCCCTGAATCTAATCGTCACAAACAGTTCCCACACTCCGGACTGCTCGCCTTTACTACTTCCTTCGCCACTTCCTACGTCCCGGACCTGTTTCCCTCCCTTCCTTTAGCATTATTGAAATGCAAATACCTTAATCTATTGGTCATAAACAGATCGGCACAATCCGAACAACTCGCCTTTACTACTTCCTTCGCCACTTCCTACGTCCCGGACCTGTTTTCCTCCCTTTCCATAGCATTTTAAGATTGCAGATCCCTTAATCTAATCGTCATAAACAGTTCCCACACTCCGGACTGCTCGCCTTTACTACTTCCTTCACCACTCCCTACGTCCCGGACCTGTTTTCCTCCCTTTCCATAGCATTTTAGAATTGCAGATACCTTAATCTAATCGTCATTAACAGTTCCCACACTCCGGACTGCTCGCCTTTACTACTTCCTTCACCACTTCCTATGTCATCGACCTGTTTCCCTCCCTTCCCATAGCATCATAGGATTGCAAATACCTTAATATAATGGTCATAAACAAAACCCACACTGCGGACAGCTCGCCTTTACTACTTACTTCACCACTTCGGCACTTCCTACGTCGCGGACTTGTTTTCTCCCCTTCCAATAGCATTTTAGGTTTGCAGATTCCTTAATCTAATCGTCATAAACAGTTCCCACACTCCGGACAGCTCACCTTGACTACTTCCTTCACCACTTCCTACGTCGCGGACCTGTTTTCCTCCCTGCCCATAGAATTTTAGGAATGCAGATACCTTAATCTATTCGTCATAAACCGTTTCCACGTGGTTTGCACACTCCAGACTCACCTTTAGTACTTCCTTCACCACTTCCTACGTCACGGACCTCAAGTTAATGTTGTCATTTAATTATATTCATGATCCGTACAGTTTCTGTTCTAATATCTGTGGAATAATGCTATCAGCTATTTCTCTATCTACTGCATTCAAAAGTCAACAGCTGATTATATGTCTTTGTTTATGTGTCAAATACTGCTTCCATAAGGATTACATTGAAACTTTGAGACCCAGTGGGGCGGATTCCTGGGAGACTTTTTTAACGCGATATAGATGTTGGCACTCACCGGTATGGTCTTTATCACCATGCAAAATTTGAAAACGATTGATTCAGCCGTCTAGGAGGAGTTTGCGTATTACGAAATGCATAAGAGTCGACGTATAAGAGCTTCGCTCGCTTCGCTCGCTCCGCTCAATAATATTCAATAAACAAATGTGCAACAACCCTAGGCCTATTTGTAAAAATAACAACAACGTTGATTCAAAGATATACCTAGGCCTACCTAATAAGTTATAGCGGGTACAGTTTCTTAACTGGGCTACGCAAATATCGATTGAAAATATTGATTATTAACTTAACTGATATTTTTAACTCTAAGTTAGGCCTAGGCCTATCAGTTAACTTATAAAATGAAACTATCATAACCTAACCTAACTAACCAAACTTGCTGAGTAGGTAGGCCTACTAAAATGTTATCTCTGTACCTATGTTGTTTGATTTTTTTGACCTAGTTACCATGAACATAGTAAGTTAACTTAATTGAATGAAGTCTTTCTAATTGAATCGATAGTTTCAAACGATATTAGCGTAGCCCATCTCAGAAGCTGTACCCGATATAGCTGTGGAAACCGAAAATTATATTGATACCTAGCATAAGTTATATCATTAGAAACTAGGTTTTTAGCCTAAACTTAATATAACGGTAAACAAAATTGTGGCGAGCTCACAAACATTAGCTGAACTACAGTTGTTTTAAAGTTCCTTATGATTTCTTCTGTTTACATTTTATTTTGTTACTCCATTGCGGTAGCCTAAACTAAATGGGAAATGAACTGGGAAATACGAAAACTGAGGAGAGGATATAGGCTAGGTACAATACAATAATGTAGGTATGCTTAAAGGCATTCTAAGTGCTAATGTTACAAAACTCAAAGGCATTTAAATGTAGCCTATATTATTGTATCGTACCTAGCCTATATCCTCTCCCCAGTTTTCGTATTTCCCAGTTCATTTCCCATTTAGTTTAGGCTACAGTACCACAATGGAGTAACAAAATAAAATGTAAACAGAAGAAATCATAAGGAACTTTACAACAACTGTAGTTCAGTTAGAGGCCAAAAACACCATCCGTTCAAATTCATATATATAGGCTATATATATATTTATATATATATATATATATAACTTATAAGTTATATATATATATATGTGTCCGTTAGCACGATAACTCGAGCAAAAATGATCCGATTTTGATGAAATTTGGTACAAACGAGTAAACCTACATTTATTCGAACGAGTTTGCGATCCAGCATGATCAGACCATGGGAACGGGGGTTTACGGGGGGGTTTTATGGGGTAAAAATAGGTTTTTCCCATTTTTGACCCAAAAAACATAAAATTTAGCAATTTCTTTCCAAACCATTTTGTAGAGCTTCAAAAAACAAAGTAGTAGGCCTATATTGAAGCGTTATTATGCGCCTAATGGTTATGGAGAATATTCCAAAAAATTGTTAATTTAAAATTCCCATGTTTTTCTTATGGAGAATAAGTAAACTGTTGTAGTTTGCTTCTTTATGAACATATTTTGATCAAATTTGTAAGATGTTTTCATCTATTATACTAATTCCGTAAGGAATTTCTTGTGCACAGCAAAACTCTTTTATTTATGAACCGATTTTGATGATTATGGTGTCAAATTAAAGGGAATTCTCTGTAGAAGTCATGGAATAACTTTTGTCACGATCAGTTCAATGTGCTTTGCCCCATTGGACTTTAAAGTTTTCATGTATTTTAAATATACAAGTAAAAGTTTGTTAAGATTACCTACCTAACATATGATTTATTTCTTTAAAAAATCTGTCTTCATAAAAATAGCCTGTTTCCCTTCTGTCATTTTAGTATGTACTTTTTCTGTTTACCTAATTTTGATTATCATAAAATTCTACCTAGAAGAAACATTCCTGTGTTTGCGATTCGGCGTTGTATTTACAACAAAGATGGCATGATAATAAATTGTGAAAAGTTACCTACGCTGGTTTTTGAAATTCAAAGAAATATTATGTGACCGCTTGATTTTTTTTTAATATTGCACGGACAGATGCTGTCACAAAACAGACTATTATTACTTACGAGGTCTTAGCGTACAGTACAAAACAGATTTAAATTGCCAATAAAATTAAATTAGCCAGCCTCAGTCTCCGGAATAAAATCCAATAGTAACGAAGCTAAAAAATATGTGTAAAATAATATTATGGGATGAAGCTTCTATGTCCAATAAGTATGCTTTATCATCTGTAGAATGATTACTGCGAGATATCGCCAGAAGAGAAGGCCAAGCAATGCCTTTTGGTGGAAAGGTTTTGGATGTAAGATCTGGAAATGAGCTACCATAGTCTCTGGTGCGAGCCGCTGTGAAATGGTAGAAAATTCAATAATTATATCACCTTTATGGTCAATGTTTAAAAATATTTCATTTGCTAAATACATAAGAGCGAATCCAAGGGAATCAATATTTGCTGAATATCCTTTACAAACAAGGAATGGCCAAGAGAGTGAGACATTCATAAGTCTTCCACCACAATGTATTGCGAATAAAAATATTGACAAAACCTTCAGTGAACGATTCTCTGAAAATGCTTTAAAAAGACAAAATTCATGCAATAATTTAACCAAAGAATGAACATGGTGACCAAATTAATAATAAATTAGCTAAGCAACTAAATA